TGAAACAGCGAGGGAGCAGGGCTTCGGGTTGACTGTGGTCATGCATTTGTGCGCGGATAGACAAGCAAGGGAGTGGGCGATTAGACGGGACCCAGCAGGCCCCCAGCGGCAGCAGAGAGCGCAGCCATTTCCCCGCTCTGACCCCGCCTCCACATACAGCCTCATAACCCAGCGACTCAGAGTGGCCCGGCCATCCTGAACCACCTAAGGCTCTGCTCCTCACCCAGCAGAGAAACAGCAGAGGGGGCCGCCATTTCCCCACTCTGACCACGCCCCCACATACAGCGTCACAACCCAGCAACCTGGGAGTCCAAGGCTCCACTCCTCACACTTAACAGGCGCAAACGGACCAAAAATGGCTCAAGAAGATCTCAAAGCCCCAGAGCCTATAAATCTAAGCAATGAAGAAATAGCAAAACTCTCAGACGCACAGTTTAAAACACTGGTGACCAGGATCCTCACCGAACTGGATTATAGCCACAAATTAGAGAAACATATGAAGGTGAAACTAATTGAAATTAATGGAATTGCATGGGAAACCAATAGCGATGAAAAGGAAACTGGGACTCAAATCAATGGAGTGGACCAGAAGAAAGCAAATAATGGCCAAACAGAAAAGAGTGAAGAAGCAAGAATTCAAAAAAATGAGGAGAGTCTTAGGAACCTCCAGGACATCTTTAAATGCTCCAACATCCAAATTATAGGGGTACCAGAAGGGGGAAAGGAACAGCCACCAGTGGAAAACTTACTTGAACAAATAATAAAGGAGAATTTCCCCAATCTGGCAAAGGCAATAGACTTCCAGGAAATCCAGGAAATCCAGGAAGCTCAGAGAGTCCCAAAGAAGGGGGACCCAAGAAGAAACACACCAAGGCACATCATAATTATATTAGCCAAGATTAAAATGAAGGAGAGAATCTTAGAAGCAGCAAGAGATAAGGGGACAGTCACCTACAAAGGAGTTCCCATCAGACTGTCAGCAGATTTCTCAGAAGAGACCTTACAGGCAAGAAGGGGCTGGAAAGAGGTATTCCAAGTCATGAAATCCAAAGACCTACAACCAAGATTGCTCTATCCAGCAAAACTATCATTTAAAATGGAAGGACAGATAAAGTGCTTCTCAGATAAGATCAAATTCAAGGAGTTCATCATCACCAAGCCCTTATTACATGAAATGTTAAAGGGACTTATCTAAGAAAAAGAAGTTAAAAAAACATGAACAGTGAAAGGACAGCAAACTCACAGTTATTAATAACCACACCTAAAACAAAAGCAAACTAAAAGGACAACTAGATCAGGAGTGGAAACATAGAAATGAAGATCTCAAGGAGGGTTAGCAACAGGGGAGTGGGAGAAAGAGAAGGGGGAGAAGGTGCAGAAAATAAGTAGCATAGACAGTAGATAGAAAATAGATGTGGGGGCAAGAATAGTATGGGAAATATAGAATCTAAAGAACTTGAGACACATGGTCATAAACTAAAGGGGGTAATGGTGGGGACAGGGGGCTAGGGTGTAGGGGAATGAAGGGGGGGAATAGAACAACTGTAATGGCATAATCAATAAAAAAAAATTTTAAAAAAAGAAACATCAATGTTTTTCACATGACCCCTACAGGGGACTTGGCCCACAACCCAGGCATGTTCCCTCACTTGGAATAGAACCAGAACCCTTTAGTTTGCAGCCTGTGATTAATCCACTGACCTACACCAGCCAGGGTTATATTTTTTATTATAAATCACAATATCACATTCAGAAAAAAATAGAATCAAGCTAGAAACACATGCAAAAAGAAGAGAAGGAATTAAAAATGGTAATTTGTAAACAAACTTTGCTATTAAGATAATACTTGTGAAGCCAAAAAAGGATAAGATTAAAACATCACATAACAATATTATGTAAAATATGTGAATATTAAAATACTCTAATATTCCTATACTGCATCAACAAAGAATATGACTGATTTATTTTACCATTTTAAATTTAAATATGGATGTTACAATTTCTAGAGATAGCATTAAAATAGTAGAAATAAACACATAACTGTCCAAATATTAAGTAAAAATCTACATTTTGTAAAATTAACCAATCCAGTAGACTCCACAAAATAAACAAAAAACCCTAAATAATAATATACCATTTAGGGAAAAAAAACAAGGTGATAAAATATAAACAATTAAAATATAACTAGACTAAGTACTCCAGCAAAAAGGTAAAGTTTGGGTAAAAATCACCTACCACCCTTCCATATACTGATTTAAAAAGATGCACTTAAAACATAAATATATAGAAGATAGGAGTCAAGATGAATAAAAATTATATATACCAAGTAAATATGAACTTAAGGAGAGCTGGCAGAGCTATATTACTGTCAAGCCCAAACATACTTAGAAATAAAAAGCATTATGAGTTTACAATTGCCATTATGCTCTGTCAAATTTTTAACTAGAAAGGTACAATGTTTCTTACACTAGTATGAAACTAAAATGTAGATTCAAAATCCGAAGACTAACAATTCAAACAAGACTCATGGTAAAAAAATTATTAAATCCAACATGGTAGAAAGAGATACTAACTCACCTCTCACTAACAGGTCAAACAGATCTAAAAGTTAGGAACAATGCCATGGAGAGATTAATAAACCTAAACTAAAAACAATGCTGCTTGCAAAAAACAAGAGTTTAAGATACACTTTCCTGTTGACCCTTCCCCCATCTCCACCAGCTCCTCCACCAAGATACAGGGAAGATTTAGAAAACTTGATCATATATGAGGCCATAGCAATTCTAAAGACATTGAAAAGAAAATATCACAAAGACCGCATTCTCTGGCCAATACAAATTAGATTAGAAATTAGTGAGGATTAAAAAAAACACCTTACAATGTTAGAAACTAAACAAAAAACGAGTAACAAAGCAAAAAACTAGTAACAAAGAAGAAATTATAACAAAAATTATAAAATACTCAGAAGTGAAAGTAGTACATAAAATATGTCAAAAACAAGAAAGAAAAAAGTATTTGCTTAAATATTTATATTATAAATATTGAATGTGAAAACAAATTAGGCAAGAAGTTAGAAAAAGAAAAGCAATGAAAAGTAGGAAACTTAATAATAAAGACATTAACAAAAGAGAAATTCAATAATAAAGAGAATTAATAAAGTCAAAGCTACTTCTTTGAAAAGGATATTAAAATACAAAAACTTCTGGAATCAAGGAAAAAATAAGGACACAAATATACAGTGTTTAGGGTGAAAAAGGAAATGCAATTGCGGATGCCACAGAAATTAAAAGGTTAGAAGAATACCTTTAAAGCATTTATGTCAATATGTTTGAAAATGAGGTATGATGGACACATTCTTAGAAAATTAGGAATTACTAAATCTGACCCCCAGGAGAAATAGAAATTATGACTGCTATGATAACAGATTGTGTGATTTAAAACTTCCCCATTTCAGGAGATATGTGCTCTTAGGAGAAACCCCTCAGTAGACACAGAGAGCGAGGAAAGGAAGAGAAAAGGAAGTAAACGGCGAATATGGTCACAAGGAAAGTCTAACCTTCGCTTCATCCAGAGGAGAGACTTGAAAGCAGAGTCACACGGCAACATTTTGAAACAAGAAGGAGCGGCCTTTGTTCTCTAGGATTTATTGGCTAGCCCTGCCAGAGGGCGTCATTTCCAAGCTTTCTCCAGGTGAGATAAAGTGGCTGTGGTCTGTCAGGGCAATTGCTGCAGGCCACAGGTGTAAACCACTGAGTCCAGCACGCCAGCAGCAGGTGGTAACCCAGCCAGTAGAGGGGATATGAGCAGGGAACAAACAATATGTTGGGAGTTTTGCACCACTCGAAGACTTTTCGGAGCACACATGTGCAGATGTGTTCTGCTATCTATTCTCACTGAGGAGCATTAGCTCAAATAATTAGAATGCAATAAGCATGCTGTTTTGTTAATGAAGGGTATGCACAGCATTCATGATGATACAGGAGATGTAGCACAGATTTCTTCAATTGTAAACCACCATAAATACTTGTTAGTTCTGCTAGGATTAAACTCAGTGCTTCAAGAAAGAAAGTTGTGGAAAGAATTCTACCCTGACTTGATCTCAAGGCCTCTCTTTTTCAGAGAAGGGTCTTCACTACCCTTCCTGGCACTTTGCCTATTTGACGTCTTCTCAAGCTTACACAGCACACAGACAAGCATTCCCTACGATTTGTGGAGAAAAATAACTGGGCATCTCAGATTATCCGTGTAAATAGGGACTCTCAAATTTGATCCATTATCATTCCAAGCCAGGGCCTGGACTGGAAGTTCTCAACCACCACGCTCTTCAGCTATGGTTCTGAATTAAATGGTGTGCCTAATTCTCCCTGTTGTGATCTGTTTCTCCAAAGTAAAGTTATTAGGAACAGCCAGGGGGCTCCATTTAAGCACATGGTGACTTGGAAAATGTATCTGTTTCCGTACTGGTTTTCATGAATATTTGAACAAAAAGCAGGCAACAGTAAAGGAATCTATCCTAAGATCGGGCTTAATGTCCAACTTTACATTGCCAGTCTCCAGGTGGCATTTTGGCATAAAACTCAATTTTCTCTTAGAATAATTTGCAATGGGATTATGGGCTAAATGTTCTCAAAGTGTCTAAACTATAATTCTTTATGAGATTGCACTTTGGCATTTAACTACAGCATATGCAAGCCTAACTTACAGGCTCATTCTTTACTTTTGTCCAAATTCTCTACACAATGCCAGCCAACTTTTAATGAAAAGCATTGCTTCATGACATAATTTACTTGCTGTGTGTATTTTTTTTCTTGAGGGATTTTTGCTTTACATTAAATTAAACTGAAATTTTGCTAAAACTTCTGCCATCTATTAAAATCCCTTTTGGAAACCTCCAATCTTCCAAACACCCAATTCTATGCAAAGATAAAACAGGAATAAATCTAAATTGTTTTGTGCCATACTATAATAACTGTGTAGTCAACATAAAATTACCTTCTGTCGTATGAAGCTTGTATTTCAAAGTCCATTGTATTTGTGCCTTTTGTGGTGAACCACACAATACTGAAACAAAGCACAAGACAAGGAGAAAAAGAAAAGAATTGTTGGAAAGAAAAAAAAACAATTAGAGAAAATAAGTGGAGGAAAAGAGAAAATTAAGGTTACTAGAAACTGCACTATCTCTTTATAATGTGGCTATAATACTACATTGGTCAGCAACTATCATGTAAAAGGTAATGTGTAAGAGTTTTATATGCTTTTCAGAACTATAAAGGGAGTGTGAGTGGATTTTAAACATTTTGATTAGCACCACAAAGATTTTAATGCTTTATTTAAACAGTTTGCTATGGGGCAAACACATTTGGTAGACAAGTAAAATGAAAGCATGGGCATCAGTTTCTCTGTTTTCTATTAAGTAATGTTGCGAAGTAAGCAGAAGTTGGATTCAGATATCAGATAATTATCTCCACACTGTGTGTCACAGTAAATAATTTTAATTGGTTTAACTTCAGGGACCATTACTGGCCTAATTAGAAACATGAAAAGGCTACAAGTATTAGGAAATATCCTGAAGGAATGAGAACATTAGCAATTCTGTCAAGCCATTTTAAAAATAAGTACACAGTAGCAACCACATTTCAGTGGAAGGCAGGGTACTTGAAAGGTGCTTTTAGGAAAACAGTGCCTGTGAGTTTGTAATAAGAGATCTGTAATAGGAAGCATAGAAATTGGGTACAGGCTGACATGTATGCTATTTCTGTGTTGAAAACATACTAATCTTGTTCTGATTGCTGTTTTTAAAAGATGCAGGTTAACATTTTCAGAGTAAAGGGATAATAACTGAGGGTGGGTAACTCCTTATTGAGACCATGTTGACTTACTGACAGGGATAAGGCTCTTTGAGTCAAATAGCTTTACCCAAACGCCGTCAGCATGCAGGGCAGTTGCACAGACTGAAGGACAGCCCTGCAGGTTTACAAGATCTTCTCCACTGTGGTGTCCCAGGATTCATAAGAAACAAATGGGTATTATTTTTGAAGCACATGTATATTTTATAGATACTGAAATGTGTGTGACATAGTTCATATGTAGAAAATGGCTTTATTCTGAATGAAAAATGAGATACTGTGTCATTTAGGTCCAAGAGTATGCTAAAAAAACCCTCCACACTTTCAAACGAAGTAAGATGTTTGTTTCGTAAGAGATAACTAAAATGCCATGTATGCGTAAATATGCACACATTATCAAGAAGTTCTAATCAAAGCTATTTAGCACAGTTTTGTTCTTTTTAATTTATAATCTAGATTTTAGCTTTCCATCTTCTGAAATTGCTGATGCTAACATTTGACCAAGTTCAGAATATGAAGATTTTTAAATCCAAGCTTAAATTTATAAATATCAACCATGATTTCAGGTATTTTTGTTTAGTTATTTGTTTTCTGTACAAGAATAGGCATGGTAAAGAAAGGCATGGTAAACTATGTGTCACTTTAACAAAGCATAGATTACTATAGAATAATTAATTTTATAATTTTGTACATTTGATAGTTGGGCCCACCATCGAATACAACATTATTAATAGAAGTGAATATCTTACTTCACCAAAATTTATCAAACAAAAATATGTGCACATGTAAGAACCCACATCCCAGATTCTGACTATACATGTACTCAGGGACCCACGCCACACAGAGACACATTGATTCACACACACACAAAACCCCATTTCTACAGTTTGTGCTTTTACACTGAATGGCCTAAAATGATGCCACCAATTACCATAATTATTCCTTTAATATTTGTGTGTTTTGAAATGTTTGCAAATTTTCATTTGACTCAATTTATTAGAATCAAATTTTCTTTCTTTTTAAAAAGATTTTATTTATTTATTTTTAAATAGAGAGGAAGGGAAGGAGAAAAAGAAGAAGAGAAACATCAGTGTGTGGTTGCCTCTTGTGTGCCCCCTATGGGGGACCTGGCCTGCAACCCAGGCATGTGCCATGACTGGGAATTGAACCTTTGGTTTACAGGCCTATGCTCAATCCCCATAGCTATACCAGCTAGGGCTAGAATCAAATTTTCTTTAACAAGATTATAACAAATTATCTTTGTCTTCACAGAAGACTATATAATGTATGCAAACAAGATGGGGATAATTCATGTGAAATAGTTTTTAGCTACAAAACAGATTAATTGCTTGTAGGTTTTTATGGGAAACACACACACAATTGTTGATCATTATAAAATAATACACACTCTCTGCCCACCACGCACGTGTGCCACATTTCAAATATCTTCCAAATGGAGAAGAGGGCAGGAGGATGAGGGTAAGAATAAAAATGTGGCTGCTGATAGAAATATACATGCTCATATACACACACAAACATACATACATATGCTCATATATTTCAGCTTTGCCCATATGTTCCAAAAATAGCAGCCTGGAAAATTTGTATCCACACATCCTGCTCTCAGAGGAAAGATACACATAAAGACAAATTTTCCTGGTGCCCAAGTGACTCAGGAAGAGAAAATATTTCAAGACATTGTATTCTTTTAGGCCATTGAACTTTACAAAACAATCTTAACATACATATTTACTTCTCCAAATACCAGATTTATCCCTTAAAGTTTGAGATTACCTCCTCTGGTATCTTTTTCCACAAAATATGCTACGTGACCCTACATTCAGGAACCCAGGGAAAGAAATAGTGGTGCAGATTGTAGTATGGGCTTCAGTTTAAGAACTTTTCCTCTAAAATACTGAGAGGATTTTGGGGTAAAGTCAACAATACCTATCATATGTCTCACCTATTCTCTGATCATTTCTCTTTTTGTATATAAGGGCTAATTTTTATTATTAAAAAATGTTAGTGATTCTCCAGACTATGTGCTTGAACTCAGAAAATATGAATTATGAGGTGGAGTAAGGGTGGCTTTAGCTCTGACACACCTTGTATAGACCCATGGCCTTATACTTTACTACCTACGCCATTACAAAATGCCAGGTTTTTAATCTGTCAGTGAAGGTAACAATTGAGTTGCAGGAAAAAGAGTGAGGTGAATATAGAAAAAGCACCTTGCTTATAGCAGTCTAAAGAAAATATTAATATTAATACTATTATTCTGTGTTACTCCTTTAAGATCTGTTTTAATAATTTAGACATTACACTAAATGGTTGTAAAATCCTTACTTGTGGAGCACAGGTCAAACCATTAGATTTCTTCACTTGTCCAGGTAACCAGGTTTTCCTATAAAACATCAAATCTGTGACAGGAACCCCACACAATGATTCCTTCTCTTTGGTCATTGCCGCTCGCACTCAGGAGATCCTGCGATTATGTTCATACAATGCCATCTCAACTCCCATTTTCATCCCTTTCAACCCCATGTATAAGAGGTCTGTCTGGAACAAGTTCAGCCATTGTTAATATAAGGAGAATGGTTGTGCAACATTGATGTAACCTGGTAGCCAAGGAGAGCAGACTAGAATGCGCATGAGTGAATAATGAGGACTTCACTGTTTTAGTCTGTGGGGCGGTATAAGCTATTGAATGAGCATGTGTACAGTGTGACTGTTGCATTCAAAATGACTGAGTAGAGCAATGAATTTGCATCAAATTTTGTGTTAAACTTGAACTTTCCTCTGCGGAAACTATTCAGATGATTCAGAAGGCCTTTGGGAATGAGTGCAATGCAAATGAAAGTGAGGCATAAATGCTTCAAAGATGGTCAAGAATCTGTTGAAAGTGATCCACATTTTGAAAGACCTGCAATAAGCAGAACACCTGGGAATATTGAACGTGTACCAGCTGCAATCAACAAAGATGGGCAACAACTGTGTGAGAGCTAGAAACTGATCTTGGGATTCCAAAACTACTATGTCTAAGACTTTGATACAGGATCTTGACATGAAAGTCGTGGTAAAATTTACTCCACAGCTTCTGCTATCAGAGCAGAAGGAACATCACACTATAGTTGCTAATGACTGGATTCAAACCACTACCAATAAACCAGATTTCCTCAAGTAACTCATAACTTTGAAGGGGACTGAGGTGTCCATGTCTTATACATAATGTTTCATGATCTTGTATCTTCCCCAATAAGTGTCTCTATTTTTCATATTACATGGCTGGTTACCTTCTGGACAAGCCTCATGTGTCCCCCAGGTACAGGTCTGGGAGTGAGCACGAGGTCCAAGAGTAAGAAACCAGAGTTTCTTTCCCAAACTCCCAACACCTGGACACAATTAATTCGCCCATATATGGGAATATCTCATGAAGAAATATGATAGGCCCTGGCTGGTGTAGCTCAGTGGATGGAGCACAGGTCTGTGAAGCAAAGGGTTACACGTTCGATTCCCAGTCAGGGCACATGCCTGGGTTGCAGGCCAGGTTCCCAGTAGGGGACACATGAGAGGCAACCACACACTGATGTTTCTCTCCCACTCTTTCTCCTTCCCTTCCCCTCTCTCTAAAAATAAATAAATAAATAAATAAATAAATAAATAAAATATTTTTAAAACCCCTGGGATTTAAAAAAATATGATAGGACCCAGAGAGAGAGAGAGAGGGGAAAAAAAGCAATCTGTTCCTTTCAAAAGCTGTTAGTGACTAAATTTGCCATTACATCAAGTGGGACAAGCACTTGATGGGGGGAGAAGGTACAGAAAATAAGTAGCATAGACAGTAGGTAGAAAATAGATGGGGGGGCAAGAATAGTAGGGGAAATATAGAATCTAAAGAACTTGAGACACGTGGTCATAAACTAAAGGGGGGAATGGTGGGGGAGGGGCGTGCAGGGTGGAGGGGAGTGAAGGAGGGGAAATGGGATAACTGTAATGGCATAATCGATAAATATATTAAAAAAAGAAAAAAGAAAGTAAAGGGATGGAAAGAAAAATATCATGTAAATGAACATGAAAAAGGAACTGGGGTAGCAATACTTATATCTGACAAAATAGACTTCAAAACAAGAAGTCTAACATAAAAAAAAAGGGGGGACAAGCAAAAGAAGCCCACCTGCAAATGAGGGAATAAATGGTCAGAGAGAAGCAAAAATA